TTTAAAGATGCATACACATACTGACACATATTTAGGATTTCAGCCAACCTGCTTCCTGGACTATAAAATGACAGACCACCTGTTTTTGGAAAGTCATGCTCTTGTTAGGTCACTACAGGATGAGCTTTCACTTCCAGCTGAGTTGGTTCCACTGAATAAACATTTACTGAAGAAAAAGAAAACATGTTTAATATCCTTCCTAACTAATATATCAACATCGTTGGTTCCTTTTAGGTCCACAGATTGGGTTTAATTTCTAGTTTAATAGAACTATCCCTATGTAAACAATTCTTTCTTACTTCTTTACAAGTGAAAGAAAGCAGGGTTTTCCAAAACTGCTCTGTGTGGTTACATCTTCAGTTCCAAACAACAAAGCATGAAGTTCTGCCTTTGGACCAGGTGAGGGCACTCCTGTCGTCTCCCAAATGTTTACTTAACTCAAGGTGACAAAAAGAAAAAAAGAAAAAAAAAAAAAACCCACTTCTATTTAAATCAGTCAAGTTGGATGACAATAGCTAGTTTGCTTTATCAATTTCTATTTTGTTTCATTTTAGGTCATAACACCATATTCACTTATGTTCTCTGGTTTTCAACCCTGGCCACATATGAGAATCACTTAGGATAGTTTTAGAAACTTTGACTCCCACATTCCATCCCCCCAAATTTTGATTGCATTGGTCTGGGGGTGGTGCCACAGAATGGGTATTTTTAAGAAACACCCGAAGTGCTTCAGATTTGTAGGCAGGAGTGAGAACCACTGCAGGGTGTTACTTCATTAGAAACAAGTTAAGGGACCTATGCTGGAGATTGTTTCTTTAATTTAGAAAACTCAGCAGATCAACCTCTGAGTGGGAAATTGGAAAATAGTGCATTTACGTAAGTGAGACAACTACATGCCACCTCGAAATATTCTTCATGACTCATCCTTTCTCACATTAAATTTCGGATATGTTCTCATTAGGTGGTGGATCTTTGGGGAGTAGCCCACTCTTTAAATAAAAGTTTCAGTACAGCTTAATTTCATTTTTAGCTCACCTTACTGTTAAATAAGGTGATATAAATAGGTACTTTGTCTTTTGTGAATAGTAGTTCTCTGCCAAGGCTTGGAAACCCATTAAAACTTGGTTAAGCATCAGACCCTTGATTTCAGCTTAGGTCATGATCTCACAGTTCATGGGATTGAGCCTCCTGTTGGGCTCTGGGCTGACAGCATGGAACCTGCTTGGGATTCTCTCTCTTTCTCTGTCTCTGCCCCTCCCCTGCTTGCATATGTGCATGTGTGCATGCTCTCTCGCAAATAAATACACAAACTTAAAAATAACAACAATAACAAAAACCGTGGTTGTTTAGTTAAAATTTATCTTGACTTTGCTCTTGCCCTGGCTAGTCTTCCTTTACTTCCATCCTTCTGTAGCCACCATTTGCCCTTTCAGATACTACCCATCCTCCTAGGGCCATCTCCTAGGGCCTGTGGCTTAAATCAGCTGAACTAATTTGCTTTTTGATTTGTTCTCTCACTCCTGAGATTTCCGGGATGCTCTCCTTGTAGTTCATAGGCCCCAAGCTCTTTTCCTGCTCCCTTCCTTTCCCTTCATTGCCCACTGGCTCTGTTGGTCACCTTCCATCCTCGACCCTGAGCTGGGCTCTTCCTGAAGGCCCCTGAAGCTTCTGCTGACCAGGGCAGGCATTTCCCACATTTGGCTCCTCTCCCCACTATGAGCTCTCCAGGTCACTGCTCCTCCTCACTAAGCTAGCAGGCAGACTCTGTGCCCTTGGGCCTTTCGTATTAACTAAGAAAATGTTCACTATGCCAATTATTGCATTACTGTGATCATAGGCAGCAAAGATTAGGTGAGTTGGCCTAAGTCAATCAGGGACCTAAGAGGCAAACCTTTCCAAAGCTATTTGGCAGACTCTCAGTCTGTGTGTATGTTCTTGTGTGTAGGTCAGCACCAAACTGTGGAGAAACCTGTACTGTGCTCTGATTGTGTAACTAGTAAACATAGCTCTGGTAAGATCATGATGTTCAGGCATGGATGCACATAGTGATGATCTCAGGGATTTACAGAGACAGCAGAGCAGCTGGGAAAGAACTATAGAAATAGGAATGGCAAGTAGGATTAGTGGCTTCTAGGCCTAGGTCTGCTCTTGACTGTATGAACTTTGGCATGTCTGGACCTCTTTGGGCTTCTGGGTTTGGGGATCTGGTTACAATACAGCTTCTAATTCAGCAAGCAAGACTTGAGATTCTACATATCCATCATGCTCCTAGATCTTGCCCCTGCTAATTGTCCATGGAGTAGCAAAGTTCTCCATGACCCTGGGATCTCTGTCTTTAAAAATTCCATGATCTTGGTAGATGACCTCTAACATCTTTAGTTGTATCCCCTTGACCAGTGCTTCCTCCTTCCCTCCTTTCCCCATCAGCCGTTCTGATTCTCAGAACAGGAAGTCTTCAGATGTAGGCTTTGTAAGGCTGCCTCTTCCCTATATGCAGCCCCTGCCCCCTTAAAGGCCTGGTCTTCCCACACTGTTGTGTATGGGAATCTTCCTCCCTCAGGGCTCAGACATTCCAGAGCAGATGCTTCTCCCTTCCTCCCTTTGGCTGACCTTGTTTCCCAGCACAGTTTCTATTCTTTGGTGTGTTCCTACAAACACCTGGCTGGGTAACCGGGACAGCCTGCATCCCACCCAACCCAATAGCATTCATGTACAGCACTGAAGAGTGTCCACTGGATTCAGCAGATCAACCGCTAAGTGGGAAACTGGAAAACAGTACATTAAGCGAGCCAACTACATACCACCTCAAAATATTCTTCCTGATTCATCCTTTCTCCCATTAAATTTTGGATCCATCCTCATTAGGTGGTGGATCTTTGGGGAGTAGCCCACTCTTTAAATAAAAGTTAATCAGAAGATAATTTCAGAAAGATAGAACTTAATTACATTTTTAGTGTAAAGTTTATATTGAGTATTTAATTCAATGATAAGATATTGTGGGGCCTTAAACTGAAGAATTCAAAATTATGAATACAAAATGCTTGCAGGCCCTCTGTGTGGGCACTGTGCATGGGACAGGGCCAGCATTGTGGAGGCTCAGTATTTTTGAATGAAGGAATTGAATGAAGGAACCTCCCAGTTCTGTACCTGTGGTACTTTGGGTACCACAAGGTGGCGGTATGGTATCACACGTGGAAAGCAGATGGCTACACGTGATTTGTTTTGGAGAGACTTTACAGAATGTTTGCACCTATACTTTCAATTGCGTCCTGTACTCTGCAACTGCTTGAGTCTCTGTGTAATTTTTCTTTTGGCAAGACATTCTGATTTTCTTCCCCGAAACTTTCAAGGATTACAGGAACCTGCAATGCCATCAGTGCAAGTTAGGAAACTGTAATAATGACAGTTTGCTCCTTAAACGTTCTTATACACTCCCCCCCCCAACTCTGTCCCCTTTTATAGTACTTCAAATTGCATTTATTATAAAGCAAAGTGGTTCACATGGCTTTCCCCACAAGTAATTATAATGAGCTTTGGCTTTACTAATGGATTTAACCATATTAGATTTTATTTACACTATCTTCTAGCCACACATTAACCATATCCCCTCCCTGCTCCCTCACCTCCCATGTTTGACAAAATTAAAACAAAACAAAACAAAACAAAACACTTGTTCCATATAGTTAATGTAGCACAAAGAGGGTGTTCTGGTAAGGAACCTATTCATTTGTCTAACTAAGGCAAATGTCCAAAATGAGACTCTTCCTTCATTTTGCCACCCCCCAAATAAATTTTGAGGCTTTTGTTCTATTAATAGATACCATTTGGATATTAGCAACTTTGCAACTCAAGTTTTAGTTTTCAAGGCAAAGAACCAGCATTTGTGTTTCAGTATGTGTCTAAAATCAGTCTTTAATGATTACAGGTGCAGGTCTTACTAAAACCTTCTAAGAGTTGTCCTCAGAATGTCAGGAGGGTTTTTTTGCTTGTTTAATAAACTTGTTTATATTGTGCACATTTATAGTCATTTTGCAAAAGCTATCAAGTATGGCATTTTACAAAGATATGTTGAAAAATTAATAAAGGAAAAAAGCTTCAAAGTTGGAAATTTCCCATGGTCACATAGTTGGAAATGTGTCAATAATGAGAATGCTGCTATATTAGAACACCAATATGCTAAGTAGTGACTTTTAGCTCTCTCCCCACCCCATATATGTGGTAAAGACTATGGGAAGTGCCCTCAAAATTACACTTTATTACTGAAACTGTAAAGTTTATGGCTGGCTTATATACTCTATATGAGCGTCACCACATGGGTTTGATGCAGGCCACTTATTGGGACTTAAGTTACAAAACAGTAATTCTTTAATAAATAAAACTGCTGGGAGGTGAAGATTTTACAGTGCCTCTGGCTTTAAGAAATATAATCAGCATGATAGCTAAAGTAGGTGTTCTTTTATGGCATATCTAATTTAAAAATCCAATTACCACCAAGAATTATTCTGGAAAGGATTTGCAAAATGTTTCTACGAAGAAACTCTTCTTAAAAGCCTCTCACACGACAAAGATCAGCCAAGGAAGTAGTTTCCATCCTATTAATTAAAAAAAATTTTTTTAAATCACGAAATATTCCTATTAAGAAAAGTAAAGAGAACAAACATTTTAGCAGGATGCAGAGAACATGTCGCCTCCCGCCCTGCAATGTTTGATGCCCCCCATCATTAGCAGGGGTAGCTGCCCATTTCTTATCTTGATTGACAGGTTAATAAGGGACCTGGGGCTATCTTTTCAGTATGAACACACAACCTTACCAATTACTTTTAAATTATTGCTAATCTGTCAGAAAATAACAAGCATGAGGAATAAAAATATCTGGAAAAGTGAAATGTCTGAAGAAGCATTTACTTCCGGTGCTTTTAAAAGGTTCAGTTCAGAAAACTTGCCAGAATTTACTCAATAGAATTTAGGCACTGAGGTTTTTTTCCCTTTTTTTTTTTTTAAAGAAAAACTTGTAGTTTATAATAGTTCATTGGTTCAATTAGGGGCGAAAAAGAAGGGAGTTTTGTAATGCAATTGTCCAGCAAAGGAAAACGCTTTAAATTGGGGGATTATGTGCACAGACCACCTGTAGGGCATTCAGAGCCCTTTTCTATAATGCTTCAACCCATGCCTAGCTGCCTGCAGGCTGGCTAACAATGCCGGGAAAAGCTGTTTAAAAGGCTGAGCGCACTTGTGCCTCTGGTCTTCACTAACTGTTACAAGTCTTCCTCTCCCTCGCTCTCTCTCCTTTTTAAAGTAAAAGTCCCACATCCCTTTAATGGAAGAACTTTAAGGCTCCGCGGTGGCCAATTGGTCTGCACCAAGAGGAGCCGGGCAGCAGGGAAAGAAACTTCAGACTATACAGCACATTTGGAGAGGAGAAAAGATCAAAGTTTTTCAAACTCAAAAGACCAAGTTCCCTACAGATTAACCCTATTCATTTAGCTCCTCTTAAAGGAATGATGTGCTGGGCCACTGGGCAGACAGGTAAAAAGTTCAACAATTGCCAAAGCATTCTTCTGCTAATTCAACAGCCTTCTGCTCAAATAAATTAGCTTAGTCTTGACAGAGGAACAATAGCTTTTTCTCTAGAAAAAGAAGCACATTTGATATACACAAGCCTGGAAGGTTATTAAGATGTTAACCCGTTAGTTTAATCCATTAAAGAACGCCTGCTCCGCTACCAGATAGTCAAGTGACTTACACTGTAAAGTGCGATCGATGGTTTAAAACATTAACGTCTGCACTTCAGCAGTGTGTTCAGTCCCTGAAAACCCAGGTGCTTTCAAAATCAGGCACGCCAAGAAATAAATGCGGGGTTTTGAAGCCTTTAGTCATATTATACAAGATAAATAACAAGGCCTGAGTGCAATTATTGCCTTGCAAAAGTTCCACTTACATACACTAAGGTGAGTGTTGTTATCCATGGATCAGAAAAGAGCTCTCATGAAAAACACCATCTTTGGGGAAGGTGCAAAAACTCAATTTTGATTTCAGTTCAACAGTGATATTTACTTTGCTAACAACTTAAGAACTAGAGTTTAACAGGTCATTTTCTCCATGCCTAAGGTCAGAGTACAAAATGAGAAACCAGAAAATGTCCATTTTTTCCAGCGTGTCCTTAGCAAGCACTTTAAAGGTAACAGCTTAGAAGAGGCAGGGGGAGAGGGCGATGTTTAAATCATTTATCAAAAGTCATTTTATTGACAAAATAGAATACTTATATTTGTTCTTACAGGGGTGGCCTCTAAACTTTTTACAAAAAAAATGTACAGACTGTATATCTTTGAATATGTACATATTTTACACATTTTTACAATTTAACAAATAATTATATAAATACATCCTCTAATGTAAGAAACCCGTATTGACTTGGGGTGTATAATTAAGACATTTCTTGTTTGTTTATTTAAGGCATTTGCCTGGTCATTAAGAATACCCAAACCGTGCAATTCCATTAGGTCGCGGTCATCCCTCCTCTAGGATATGTTAGGAGTAAGAATTTACGTAGGAGAGTAGAGGGAGAAAAACAGGTCCCTCAGGTGAAATCTGTAGCTCTGGCTTCAAGCTCAGCAAATGGCAACCAGCGAGGGCTACAGACCTTGCGTTCTGAAACGCAGCAGCAGAGTCCACCCTCCGCTGCCAACAGAGATTAACGCCTGGCGGGAGGAGCTCCACGCATATCAATGGAGGAAAGGGGGCTGGGTCTGGGAGCCTTCAATGCCAGGTACTTTGTTCTAAGCGAGTCATTTAAGTCCCAGCTAATGGATACCATTAAGAGTTCATTATCATGCTAATAGCAATCAACACGGTGAAGGGGTGGGAACCTCAGCCCATCGAGTGTCCCTTCGCTGCACTAGGTTTCCTCGCCCCCCTCCCCATTCCTTCCGGGTGCCCCCTCCCCTCCTCTCAGACCTGGGACAATGGCATTTGCTTTGGATAAGACACGGAGCTGGCCGTGCCAGATCGCCACGTCAGGCCGGTGCTGACGTCGCTGTAGAGGGATCCCGCCCCACCGCCCGGGACCCCGCCCCCACCGGACCCCACGCCCCCACCACCTCCCGGCACCCCAACCCCCCCTGCGGCCCCAGCGCCCGCGCCCCCCGAAGCACCCTTGCTGGCCCAGCAGCAGCGGGTGCACAGGGCGCGCCACGACTCGAGAGTCTTGCCGGACCAGACCCACACGCCCGAGGTGATGCCCACCACGAGGCACATGAAGTACTTGAGCATGAAGACGGCGTAGTCGGGCCGGCGCGCTTGGTCTGGCTGCAGGTCCCGCAGACACGGGCAGTTGTGCGTGGCCTCCCAGCGCGGGCGGTTGTGCTGCTCATAGAAGAGGCAGGCGACCACGACGGCGGCGGGCACGGTGTAGAGTACGGTGAAGAGACCCAGGCGGATCATGAGCTTCTCCAGTTTGTGCGTCTTGGTGGGGCCGCCCTGCTGCTTGATGACTGAGCGGATGCGGAAGAGCGACACGAAGCCGGCCAGCAGGAACATGGTGCCAATGAAGAGGTAGATGACGAGCGGCGCTAGCACGAAGCCGCGCAGGTTGTCGAGGCTCTGGTTGCCCACGTAGCAGATGCCGGCCACCGGGTCGCCGTCCACGGAGCTGAGCGCCAGGACGGCGATAGACTTGACGCTGGGCACGAGCCACGCGGCCAGGTGGAAGTACTGAGAGTAGCCAGCGATGGCCTCATTGCCCCATTTCATGCCCGCCGCCAGGAACCATGTGAGCGACAGGATCACCCACCAGATGGAGCTGGCCATGCCGAAGAAGTAGACGAGCAAGAAGACCACGGTGCACAGCGCCGGGCCCGTGGTCTCGTAGCGCACGTGCTGCTCCACAGCGCCCAGTTCTTCGTACTCGCCGCGCCCGCCAGGGCCACCCGCGCCAGCGCCCACAGCAACAGCGCACGAGCCCCCCACAGGCTCCACCTTCCTC